AGGATAGTGAACAGTCAACTTGCACACATCTTGTACCGTAACATAGAGTACAGTCGACTCGTACACATTTACTGTGGGACAAAGTACATTATTTTACATGCATACATCTAGTACAGTATGAAAGAGTACAGTCAATTCAAACCCCTTTAGTACAGTAAGACATGGTACTGTCACCTTGCACACATCTAGTACACTCTGTACGGTACAGTACATGGTAGAGCATAGCACACATATTACTAAAGAGGAGAAATAACACATCCAAACTCGTAATAAAGAAGACTCGAGACCACAGAAAATACACATATGCTATACGGATAATCTACATCACCAAAGCGGAAATGTACAACACATTCACAATTCATTTAAAGACCAAAACAATAAATAACTGTTCTCCTCGATACGAATGTGGTCCATCAATGACTGCAGTGTTGTGGCAACACAAAGAACAATGATTTCACAAACAGGATCCATTAACGCTGTACATAATGATCGTAAATAAAATGTGACATCTCACGGCAAGATTAGTCACTGTGAATGGAAAAAGACTTTAGCGCGTCTACATTACGAGTTTAAATTTTTATCAGATTTAAATCTAAATGCTTTACTCTGTCCAAATTTAAATAAGGGGTCGTTGTGAATCATATTGAGCCAAGGGCATATATTAGCTACAGCTTGTCTACATTTCCAGTTGTAACGTTTAACCACATAGGTTTTTGTAAAATCTAAATAATTTAATCTTTCCAAATGTAAATACGGGGTTATTGTTCATTCTTTTGCCCCAGACGCATATTATATCTACAGCGCCCAGTTCACACAGGCATACAGGGAGTCGCTCGCTTTGTTAAGATTCGCATTAAAGCATAATGATAAACGATATTTAACTGTAGTCAAATATGTTAAACTACGCATGAATAAAGCCAAATGTTCTCTATACTTCCAGTGGTAATGTTTTAGCAAATGTATAAAAATGCATATTTTCCTCTTACGTGTAGTGACATTACAGCGATGACGTCATGTTCCAAGACATTGATGTTTCCCTTTCATCTTGCCGAAAGCAATACGCCGAAATGAAGATTAATTCACTTTTTGTTTGATATAATACACTGTATCTTTGACGATAGTATTTTAAGTCTATGAGTGTCTAAAAACTGCCGCAATTTGGTGATAGATTACGAATAATGCCTTTAAAGAATTCACGATGCATGTACGAGTTGCACAGAGAACATATCAGAAGACACCCTTAAAGGGATTTTCATTACAATAAATAAAGAAGAAATCTTGCAAAGACAGTAATAACATAAACTAGAAGTGCGACTATTCACGTCGTTAACAAAATGTATATATCGGTAAACAATGAAAATAATTTCAAAATGCATTAATACATACACAAAAATCCTACCTCGACATAAACACACATCTGTCCGTGGCGGTTCCACTTGAAACATTGACACGTGACATGACGTCACAAGTGTTATTGGTGTCAATTTCGTTTCTTTCCGGAATTTAATTACAAGCACCTCAGTCAAGCAAATCGCTCACACACAACCATTAAAACTCCACACAAATCTGTGATCGGCTGTGATACTGGGACACTGAACGCAGAACAAACCAAGTGATTATTTTTTTTCCGTTTGAGTGGTTTTATATATACCGAGTGTTTCTGCTTTGTCTGGTCCGGAGCAACTTCCCGTGGCGGCAAGCCGACAGGTTTGCACCAGATGTTTAACAGCCAGAAAAATAAACTCCTAGTCTAAACATACTTAATTTAAAGTTCTAATTTCTCAAGGAAGACATAATTACAGCTTCGACACATGTTTGTTTATAAACATATGTCTGTCCAGACATTACAAACATTGATAGGTTTTCCATTCAAATGTGATTTAAAGTCAAGGAAGAATGTTTTTACAGGTTAACTATCCCTCTGTCCGTCCTCAAGTCTACCAAAACCTCAGATCAAAGGGATTAGCCTACGTTAGAAACTCGATACAGAAAGAGCCTTGCACAAAATGTATTAACATCGAAGAAATGGCCCTCGCCAGACAGACATGTGTCATGGATTGATAACGTGTGAAGAGTGAGTGAGTATGGTTTTACGCCGCTTTTAGCAATATTCCAGCAGTATCATGGCGGGGGACACCAGAAAAGAGAATACTCAGTTCTACGGTTTTGCATCTCACCTGGGTTTATAATATTTCATTCAAAACTTCGATACTCCTTTTGTTAATATTATCTTGATGTTGTGTTGGAGATATGTCAGTACGTTATGAATTCAACATCATCACGAAATGTGTTCACACAATTTGGAAATTTTGAAGTTAGTTTAATGTACAGTAAACTCCGGTTATAACGAACTCAAAGAGACACTAATTTTAGTTCGTTATAACCGTAGTTCGTTATAAGCATATATACAGCATATACACAACCAATGGGCGGGACTAAAAATAAGTTCGTTATATCGGTCAGTTCGTGATAAGCGTGTTCGTTATAACCGTAGTTTACTGTATATAAGTATGTAGCACGATGAACAATGACTTGGTATTTCATAATAAGTTGGGGCGGTGGGGTAGCCTCGTGGTTAAAGCGTTAAAACTTAAGTTTGCAGTGTTCCGGCGACTGATGTAATCCTAGTAACGTTTTGATAACGTTTGTCATGTTTTGATCAAATCGATTTTTCAAGTGTATACTTTCTTTTGCCCGGCAGTTTATATTGTGTGCAAATATGAGGCCATACGTCGACACAGAGCAAACACGTATGTTGAACCCAACCCTAACGTCTGTTATTTTTTCTCTCCAAAACATATATAACTAGTGTTCAAGTCTGAAACGATTAAATTGCAACACTCACAATTAATCTGCAACAATGAAAGTTGTAATATTATATAATATTTTGGCAAGTATTCATAAGATTAATTTCGGCGAACTCTCGGTGCAATACACACAGAAAGAATTTGACCTGTGCATACTTGTTTGAAAATAATTATCCCGTTCTTGTTTTTAAAATTACTAACATTATTAAAGTAATAAAAAGTTTGCAACATCGGGTAGAATGTTGAATCTTAATCATGACACCTCGAACACACTTGAAAACACAGATAGTTGTCCTAAACCTATTGTTTGTACTAAATCATTATTCTTATTATGCCCCCGTAAAGATGCGGGTTAGAAGAGGCAACTTGATGGTGCATGTCATCGTTCCCCATTTACGTAGATCGATGCTCATGGTATCAATCATTGAATTATTTGGTTCAGACTCGATTATTTACAGGCGGAGGTCATATAGCTGGAATATTGCTTAGTGCGACTTTTAACAAGATACAAACAAACAGTATTATCATGGAGAGAATATGTTTTGTTGAATGCCTATCACCACACCTTGAATATATGTGTCGTCATTAGCATGCACACAATCCCTCAGCCGGTGTCAGCCATTTTGTATCTGCTTCTTGTAAAATGATCTGTTTTTGGCAGAGGTTTCAGAGGAAAACATGTTTCCCAAAAACACACGACGACATTCAAACACGCTGAAGACTTTCAGTGCAGAGGAGCTGAACCGAAGTTACAGTATGTCGTCATGCGACTCGTCACTGCAAATGATGAAACGTGTGTGTTGGTTGAACAATGCTTGATGTAATGAACTGGTTCTCGCACTACAGAGCGTGTCCGCGGATCAGACACACCGTCACGGCCTAGTCTACTCGTCATAGAGTGCTTCCTTCCTGAGCTGCTTTGCCCTAATCAGATGAAACAAGGCAATACACGCGGGATCAACCACCCCAGAAGGAGAAGGGACCGAGTTCGTGATCGGGCATGCCACTTGACATCACCAGCTCACTTATACAATTATCGCATGGAAGTTGATCTGTTGTAAGAAGTCGGCTTCCTGAATAGCCATAAATATTTTTTTTGACTTCAACTATCAGCTGTTATTGTTGTATTCAGAATGGATAACATGAATGACCTCCGGATAAGCCTGGTCCCCGCAGGGGATGGAATGCGATCATGGGGTGGTCATCGAAGGTTGTCCAGACTGGGAGGGTGGCGAGCACGGGGAGGTTCACCGTGCTCGCTGCTAAGACTCGAGTTGTGTATTTGTTTTTCGTTGCATGTAGATAATAGTGGTAAATGTGCTACGACAATGAATGGTATCAACGAAGCATTATTAAAAAATCGATTAATTTATTTCTCTTCCCCTGAAACTTCATTCATTCTCTCTCTCTCTCTCTCTCTCTCTCTCTCTCTCTCTCTCTCTCTCTCTCTCTCTCTCTCTCTCTCTCTCTCTCTCTCTCTCTCTCTCTCTCTTTACCCCTCCTCTCCACTCACTAACATTACTCCTCGCTCTCTTTTTTCCCTACTCTCTCTCTCTCCTTCCCTCTCTATCTCCTTCCCTCTCTCTCTCCTTACCCACTCTCATTCCCCCTCTCTCTCCTTCTCTCTCAACTCACCTACTCCCCCCCCCCCTCTCTCTCTCTCTCTCTCTCGCCGCACTCTCCCTCTATCTCTCGTTATTAATCTATCCGTCTCTTTTTTTCCACTCCCTCTTTACCTCCCCTCTCACTCTCTTTCCCCTCTCTTTCCCTCACACTCTGTCTGTCTTTACCCTCTCTCTCCACTCACTCACATTACTCCTCGCTCTCTCTTTTTCCCTCCTCTCTCTCTCATTCCCTTTCTCTCTCTCCTTCCCCTCTCTCATTTCCCCCTCCACTCACCTACTCCCTACTCCCCTCTCTCTCTCGCCACTCTATCCCCCTCTCTCGTTATTTATCTATCTGTCTTTTTTTCCACCCCCTCTTTCCCTCTCCTCTCATTCTCTTTCCATCACACTGTCTCTCTTTACCCCTCTCTCTCCACTCACTCAAATTACTCCTCGCTCTGTCTCTCCCCCCCCCCCCCCCCTCTCTCTCTCTCTCTCTCTCTCTTCTACCCCTCTCTCTCCTTCTCCCCCCTCCCTCTCTCTCATAAATTATCGCCACATTCTCACAGTACAAAGTCGTGTTACTCACGTTTTCAATAATAATCTCCTGGCCCTCTAAACGTGTTCAAGTTCTCCTATCAACTTTCCTTTCCTTTTAGTGTCAAAGACCAAAAGATCCATTACCTCCAGTTGTGAAAGACGTTCCGTCAATAACTTCATACACAGGCATATGTTCCATTACTGATATCAAAGCTCGTGGGACAATTTCTGTTCAGAATATGATTGGCATCTGGTTATGTACAACTCCATCCATATGTCCTGCAAATGCCGACCAAATCTGACATTTGACACCCCGCCTATTGAGTTCTCTTGAAGGCTGGGGAAACACGAATAATATAAACTGTTGTGAAACGCGAGAAGAATTTGTCTCGATCGTGGTCTATTGTTTCTGAGGCTGTAAGGCCAGGGGTGAAGTTTGAGTGGAGAGTGACGGGTTTCGTCTCCTGTTTAAAATGATGCTCGTCCATATGCTGAACTTGCTTGTTTTTCTACTCCGTCGTGTTCAAGAGTCAGCTGTCTGGACAAATGAAGTGGTTCGGTAAGGGCTCGCTAAAGTTAGAGGCTCGAATGTCTTGTTATGGGAAAATACTGCTTCAACATCATACTTGCATTAAATTATATTAAATTATAAAACTTTGACATGAAAACAATAGAAAACCGACACGAAGGGACGTGCCATTTTAATATTCTGGCGACTGAGGTTTGTCGACGACAGATCACCGCGACAATGCATAAAATCTTGGGAGAAGGAGCCGAACTATTTTTTTTTCACACATCTGCCATTTTTTCACCAGTGAGCTCAAACACTTTTTTTCATTTATGTCCTGTAATATCTTGAACAAAATACCCAACCCCACCCCCCAAAATACCACAGATGATAAGATAGACAGAAAGTTCACTCATATTCATGATTAGAGATCTAGAGAAGGCGGTTGGGATGACTGCTTAACGTAGAAAGGATGCTGCACATATCATAACGGAATATCATATGGTATACATTATAGATGACAATTTCAATTGTCAAAAGGTGTGTGACATCTTAGCATTATGTCACTCCAGCGCAGTACATGACTAGAATAGTCCAGTGGAAGATAAAACTATCACAACGAAACAGAGTTGAGTAAGATGGATTCTACGTCGTTTTAGAAATATTCCACGTCGACCCCGCTACGCTATCCCATCTCCCCCAGTGAAAGTTTTGGACAACCAAAAGACGATCCACATTTGTGAGTGAGTATGGTTTTTCGCCGCCTTTAACAATATTCAAGCAATATCACGGCGGGGTACACCAGAAATAGGCTTCTCACATTGCACACATGTCGGGAATCGAACCCGGGTTTTCGACGTGACGAGCGAACGCTTATCCACTAGGCTACCTGACCGCCCCATGCATAATTGTGAAATAGGTAACTATACAGATTATTATGTTGTCAAAGCACAATAAACAAGAACTATAATGTACTACTCAAAAGAAGTTAAGGACCACCCGATTCGTTCATTTTACTCTTCTCAATCTGTGATGCCAAGACAGATTAACTATAGCAATATGAAAGAATGGCGTGGTTCTTAACTTCTTTTGAGTAGTATATAGATGAATATGTTTGAGTGAGATGGGTTTCTCGACGTTTTAGCAGTATTCCAGTACCAAGGGACACCAGAAATGGGTTTCACACATTGTCCTTATGAGGGGAATAGGTGCATTTTATGCTTGTGTGTAAACTCTATCGTCAATTAAGACACAAAAATTCCAAAGAAGTTTATAACGTACCCAAATATTGATCTGTTTTGCATACTCATGTCAACTTCAAATATTACTTTATTACAAAATATTGCATTGTACATACATCATGCATTGTTAGTTAGAAGAAACACCCATACCTTGTAAATACGTTGAACTATGGGCCTATGGCCTTTTAGTTTGCAATGAATAAAACAATTTGAGGGGAATAGAACTCGAGTCATCGGCGTAACGAGCGAACGCTTTAACCACTCGGCAGTATACTTAAAACGACACTTACCCGTATTCACCTATATAACAACTGTAAGGCAAATATCCTATGATCTTCCCATCACACATGAATACCGACTACAACGGAACTATATACGTCTACAATCCATGCATCTATAAACCTCTCCTCCATCAATGAATACACCAAGTGCAACCTTTTGTCCCCCTCTGTACCAGACACCATTCAGAACTGTGTACTTTTGAACTGAATCATATCCCATTGACAAGTCTAAAGTTAATTTCGTTCAAACTTCGTACCAGCCCAGGTCACACTGAACAAGACAGGACTAATTACTGCTGCTACTTGAACCGGGTTCCATCGCTTTGGTCAGACTCGACGAGCTTCCCGGTTCGACATCGGTTTGACATCCTCATCAACAACGGCAGACATCCTCTTCACTGCCTGATGGATAACACATTATCTTAGGGGGACGGGGTACAGATAACGGTGCCGATGGGGGACCGTATTGGATAACCCCTTGGGTAAAGCATGTGTTGAGGGGAATCCTTTGGTGAATGAACGACGCCGCTGACGTTAGTCCTGTTTTCCTCGTTATGGCGTAGATCAAGTTGACGCGTCACCCTAGATGCTGTGAATGGGATGGGGTACTTGTATTGGCTGTCACTGTTGAAGGTGTTAGGAGAGGAAAAAAGGAACTGGCTCAAAAAAATAATAAAAGGAGCATAGAACTACAATAAACTACCACATGAAGCGTATCATATCAACGTTACACGCGATACACCATGAGAACAGAATCAGAAAAACCTCACAGAATTTGCGAAGCCTTTGAATCTTGGAATAAAACAAAATGTAGCAAAATGAATACCTTTTGAAAACTAATGATTGTGCCAATTCTAATATGAAACTAATTACTTCCATTGTATACATACACCCAAAAGTTCACTTCCGGGTCACCATGCCGGAAGATGACTGACAACATTATGCGCCTTAAAGCATGTTTTACTCAATTATAGACTATACTCATTTTAATCTACACAGTAGAACACTTGCATAAGTTACTTTCAATGACTTAAACTACTATAATTTCGCCGTTCCCTGGGCTGGACTAGCGACCTATTTCTTGCTGAAGCTTATTACTTACAGAGTGTCGGAAGTTGGCACGCCCTGAGGTGTTTTTTGTCTACTTTCCCTCATAGAACTTCAAAACACAAAACCTTGTTCCGCTACGACACCCATTTCCTTGTTGTGTAGGGCAAGGAATGTTTTGACTCCGTGTGATTCAACATTATTGTTTAAGTCAGATACGTGGCTTATCCTGGCGAGTTTGTCATCCTTATGAAAATAATTAATATACAATCCCTGAATTAAACTATGATAGATAATTTGTTTGCTTAACGCCGCACTTAGCAATATTCCAGTTTATGTACGGGCTGTCTGTAAAACATCGATTTTGGACCACAAAAACCAGTGATTAATATATGCAACGTCTGTCGTCGTCGGATAGACTAACGCTTAGTCTCTGAAAATATATAATTGTGATAGAAATAAATAATTCCATTGAAATTAAAAAGGAGCCCAAGTGAAATGGGTGATCCGATCTGACCCTTTTGGAAATCTAGACTTGCCTCATTTAGGGCAAAATCATAACACTAAGGCTTGAGCGGAAGGGAAAATAATACAGTTAAGGGAGTGTGACTAGCCGTCGGGGTACAATGACACAATCAGTTAAGTCACTGACTCTTGACCAACCAAAAAAATGGCTTGATAATGGTCATCACAATGCGACGGAACACAATTTAAAACAATGTTTCTAGCTTTTACTCGCTTGATCGTAAGTGATTGAGTATTCGAGCCATTGATCTACAGATAAAACAATTGTTTAAATAACATGAGTTTGGAATTAAATACATTTGATAAAGGCGAGGTCTCTTAAATTTGATTTCTACATTGTCACCTAACTGCACGTAATTTCAAACCCAAGTATGTTATCTATAATACAATTTGTCTCCTGGTTAATCCTGCATATGTGCCCCACCGGTGGCACCCGTCATAAACACACGCAAAGGCAGGTCAATTGTTCACGAGGACATATGGTACAAGTTAAAATAGAGAATTACATCAAACATAATTTCTGTCACTGATGCGTCAAATTTGGAAATGTGCCCCATATGTCTACATTGAACTTTTTGAAAGTTTGACTTCTTATTAGACACTGAATGTTTTAACTTTGATCAAACAACTTATCATGCTAATACATTCATGTTGCACTGAAATTTAAGATATATATTTCATTAATATTTACTTGAACCATGCTGTGTGTCTACTTAGTGCCATTCCCCTGCCATGTGACTCTAGTGCCTGTTTCCGTCTTCATCTTCAATTCCACAGTTGTAAATTCCTGGAATTGTTGGCCATGAACCCCGAAGTTCTAGTGCCGTTGTTTCATTTACAGCCGCCATTTCATCTTCCAGTAAGACGTCATCGCCGACACACCATGACGATCAGAGGAATGTTAGGAATGCTAAAAAACCTTCCCTAAAACTCGAATTTATTTTTCTTCAAATCATAAATATCTTACGTATTTATGTAGAGTCAAATTAAGTCGCCATCTTTTTTTAAAGATTTCCCCAATAATGTTTAATCACGGGACGTAGGGGCCTAGAATAATATAGAGGGAATCTGGAATTGATGAAGTACGTTGATATATTACTACCGTTGGAACCTGACACCAAATGAAAAAGCTGCGACTGTGGAATATGTGAATTTGGGTAGACAATTCCAAATAACGCTCGGTGACATGTTTTGAAAGAAAACACATAGGGGGCATGTTTTGTCTGTACGGCGCGACGATTCCTGTTAATATCAAAGACATGTTATGGTAAAAGGTTCTTTTCGTGTTCCGTGTCATCTAGTTCTTCGAGGGGCAAAACAAACGCGGTCATTTATTTTTTAACCAAGAACTACTTTTTTAGTTGTTAATTAAGTTACGTTCACGAAGGAGCGTTTCGTGAAAAAAAACACAAATATAAATGTAAAGCGGAAGTGATATGCTCCTAAAGGTTAATGTACATAACACACGACGGATGTGAACCGAACACGCAAGGCATGCTGCAGATGAGCAATTACACGTACATGGACGATTCCTTTGTGAACATGTGCTGACTAAAGGGGACGAACCACGGATGTGAGTTTCATCACACTGTTAATTGATTGGTTCGTACATAGATATTTCGCAATGAGGCCTGAGCAATGTTAATTAATACAGAATGAGGTCGCAATGAGGTCTGATTTTGATTTGTGCAGAAACAGGTAGCACAGGTCTAATATTAATTTCTGCATGTTTTCGCAATGACGCCTAATATTAATTTTGTGACTGTATATTTTCGCAATAAAGGCCCAATACATATTCATGTACATGAAGACGCTTACATCCCGCTTAGACTGACACTTTGTAGTGAAAACATTTCTTTAAAATAATTATAATCCTTTTTCTTAGAAAGAACCTTTCCTCTTCTGCTGTGTTCATATCAAGCAAACTAGACTTGGTTAGTTTGATCTAGACTTCCCTATGCTTTTAGTAAAAAACAAT